GGAGGAAGTGGGGCCTTCAGTTTACTTGGAAAGATTAAAAATCCTCAGGCAGCGTTGTGGCCTTGACAACGCAAAGGTATTGTACTTGACAACACTTGTAAATCCCCAGGAGAGGCACTTCATTTGCACTTTTTTAAGAATTCAAATTATGTGATTTTTCTGTGCCAAAGGCAGATTCCAATCAGAATTGACTATCTTTCATTATACTGCATGTCCTAGCTATTCTCTGCACGTCTCCATGCCTAGTGTAAATGACTTTAAACTCATTACTTGGCTGAGTAGGCTTGTGTTTCAGTCCAGTCTTTCTGCAGCACTGGTGTACGTACAGGTTGTTTCTACAGCCTTGTAGTATGTAGTTGAGTCTGAGATGTTCAAGTAACTACTGATCTCTAAAGGTTAACATGTATTGACCTCTGTTTGAGTTGAACGATGTGGAAATTCTAGATCTTTCTGCACTGAAACAACCTCACAAGCTGAATGAAGACTTTTGTAAGTTTTGAGTGTACGGATACTGAGGCACAGAAATACTGGATGAGCTTAGTATTGGAAACCTGGGGGCCAAAATTTCTAACAGATCAGTCAGTGATCTGTGTTAGGAATCTAGTGCCAATTACTGAAGTTTGCACTCGGCCATGTGAGAAGTGATGTTCACTGTAGGAATAGTTACCCACGCACATACATCACTGTTCTAACCTTTACCACAAACTGGTATATCAGCTCACAGCTCTGAGGAGGGGAAATGTTTCCTAGATGACAGTAACAAGGTAGTTAACACAGGTGGAAGTATCAATTGGTGAAAGGACAGTGAATTGACATTTTATTAAGTCTTTGGCCGGGTGGATCTTGCTAGTCAATCCAAGTTTCTTCTTGAAATTAATTCATCCAGAGAACTTACTGTTTGTTGATGCTGCATGTAGGCATGGACTTACCTCGTGTGGTGACAGAATTCAGGCTGTTCAAGACTGCATCAGGCCATCTCAGTAAAACACTGGCCTGCTGTGAATTTTTCATCTTTAAAGACCAGTTCCTTTGGGTCCCTCCTGACATCAAGCTAAACGTAAACAACTTAAATGATAGGAATTGAGTGTTGTAGTTAGCTTTGCATGGTTCTGACTGATGGCAACTGACTTTATCACTCCAGATCACCTGTGTTGTATGGCTCCTTCCCTTTCCTCTCGAAACGCCATTGATTATGGTTTGTACTTATGTGGCTTTTGCCACTGTCTTAACACTTCATTTTCCTCTCCCCTAGCAGGAAGACAGACCACCTCTGACATCTCTGCTCTCTAAACCAGCACTCCCTACAGTTGCGTCCTCTACAGATATGCTTCACAGTAAGCTCTCCCAGCTCCGTGAGTCACGGGAGCAGTACCAACATCTGGACCTGGACTCCAATCAGACTCATTCCTCTGGCATTGGAAGTACCCTGGCTTCACCCTCTTCTGCAGCAGCTAATATTGATGACTTGAAAAAAAGATTGGAGAGAATAAAAAGCAGTCGCAAATAGAGATGCAAGAGAGACAGCATCACTGTTGCTTGGGCTGTCTTCAGCTTTAGTTTACTAAACTAGAAGTCTTCATAGTTAAATGGCCTCATTTAGGCCTAATGTATACAAACTGGTTTATGTATAATACAGTGGATTTTGGGGGGTTGAGTCATTGTGGCACAAGTATTTGTACATACTCTGCTTCTCGGTGAGCATCTCTGACAATAGAAGGCTGTCTGTGTATTAGTTTTAGTGTACAGACCTGTAAACAACCATCCTCTTGCTCAGACTAGTTTCTCATAACTTGTTTTTTTTTATTTGTAAAATTGTCTTCAAGATCTTTTCCTAGTTCTTAACTCTTAGAAAATCTTTAGTGATTTCATTTTTAATTTTGTGAATTCTTCTCCATCTAATCCTTGAACTGTTGATTCTGTATGGACATATGGCATGAAGTAACTAATTTAAGTGTCTTTTGTAAATAAAGTTTGCATTAACTATACCAGCCTCTGTAGGAACAGCAGTGACTGCTGATTAGAGAAGTCACTCTCTATTCCTGAACGGTAGTGACTGGGCATCTAGAAACTGAACTAAACTATTCTTGACATGAACCTTGGGGTTTGGATATGTTATAAGAAAGATGAGTGAATATATGCTATCTGTGGGTGCAGTCCTGAGACTGCGCACTCTTACTTCTATGAGCAGTAGTGCATTTCTCATATAGTTGCTTTTTTGTTTTGGAATATGTTTCTGTAACTTGAGAGTAAGTTGAGAATATTTAGTTTACTGAAATGCTTATTTTAAATTATCTAGTCCTTGTGATGCCTTTACCCAGATTAAGCGTAGTCCTATCTGTGTACAAATGCTTTCTTTGAGGGAAGCTGCTGCTGTTGATATGGAATAGATGAGCAGTGGTGTACAGTCAGTGGACTCATTTATCCTGAATTCATTTGGTTAACCAGTCTTCCTCATGCAGTTTGCAAGTGCAGGTAGACCTCACCACCGCATTTTTTTCGCTCTTAAACATCTGATGTCAGTAAACTCTACTATTTTGTGTAACTTCTGGCACATGGTAATGCTAAAGCTGTAGCCACTGCTTTTTTTGTAAGAGTGTCTTCTGATTAGCCTTTTTCAGAAGCTACAAGTATGGAGATTAAGACATACACTATAGCCTTTCTAGCCCTTTCATCTCTAGGGAGGCGATGTGTTCTCACCTCACTGCTGCACTTCCATGTCAGAACTGGTTGTGAAGTGTAAATGGCACATCTGTTCCATAGCTGGAGCAGTTACTGAGGAGTTGAACAAGTAGGCTTAAAATAGCACACTTCTGCTCTAGGTTTTAATCTGGTCCACGTAACTGCAGCTGTTGTTGTTTGCTCTCTGGGTCAGCAGTCTCTGCGTTAGGGCCCTTACTGAAACCATCTCGCCCGATTACAGTCAAAAAGTGGTTTTAAACTAGTACCTGTACAACAGATCTATGCCAGAGCTTCTGCAAATGGCTAAAATCTTCCTTTTAGAGGACCCCTAGGCTGGGGTTGCAGTTGACGTAACTACTCCTTGGTGCTTATGGCGAGTTTGTACACTGTGATAGCAGGTGACTTGCGACCGTTCTCCATCCTGTGTTAATTGACATGGTGCCATTCATTGCTCCACCACCTTGGTTTAGTAGTCGCAGTCTCTTCTAAACCTGAAGTGGGCATGAACTTTCTTGTGGAACAGAGCTGTGTGACAAGTGGAAGTTTGGCCCTTACTGGTAAGTGCTGAGGTTTTGCGCACTTAAACTGGGGCTGTTTGAATAGTTTGTGTAGGCTGACGCTAGAGGTGCTGCCACTACCTCTCAATTACTAGCTGCTTTTTGAAACTTAGTGACATTGAAATTAATCTCTATGTTCCTTTACCATGTCCAGCAGACGTTCTGGAAAGCTCTTTGTTAATTAGCTCAGGATGTTAAAACAACAATGCCTGCAAACCTGCGTACAGCTGTTTTAAATCTGAAGCTGAATTGGAAGTGAAATACAGGAATAATTGAGTAGCAGAAGATATAGTTGCTTACTATGAATGAGTTTTTGCCCTGTGTCTCTGTAGTGTTTGGTTGGACTCAATATCCTCGGAGTTCTGAACTAAAACTTGTGCACATAAATTAATAAAGCCTAATCTTTAGCCCAGACAATTATTTAAATAACATTAAACTGAATTTTAAAAATGATTCTTCTGTATTGTTTGTAACAAGCCAGTATTGACAGTGACTTACTCCAGAAAATGTATGGTCCTGGTTCCCCTATAAGATACGCAATTTCTCACAGAGTATTAGGTAGCAGTGAAAGGATGAGGCTAGAAGGGCTAAACATTTTCAGTGTCCAGTGCCTGTGGTTATCAATGACTTTTAAACAGTTGTGGAACTTGAGCTCTTGAGGTTTCTTTCTTCAGATGTCTTTTGAGAGGTTTTTATGCTTTCTTTGGGCAATCAGATTGGGCTGTCTTCAGATTGGTTCCCAAAAGAGCCACCTTCAAGGAGAAGGCTGGATGATAATTGATCAATAACTTTGTTTATATCCAACCAATTTCAGATAGTTACCTCTACTCTTACTTTTTCAACACAGTCACTCTGCTTCTTAATACTCTATGAAATACAACAAAATTTCACTGTTGCCTGTTTCTGGAACTTGATGACACAGTGAATGAGGAGCTCAGGAATGCGGTGTCATAGGGAGCAAGGACAGTTTCCACTATCTGATGATTAAGAAAATTGGACTGAACAAATAGACTAGTCAGGAATATGTGTTTACTGTTGCAGTGCTGGGTCCTTAGTGGTCCACAAATTGCTGCTAAAGAGGAGTTCATGAAAGAACTGAAGCTTCTTTTGGGAGTAATCCCTGAACTGGCCTTATAAGACAGACAGATGCAGTGCAGGATGCTTCCATTGGAGGCCCCTTGACAATGACTGTGTGTGAATTGCTTCCTTCTGAATCTTGCTGTGCAAGTGGAAAGTATACTTTGAGGACCTAGCACCACCTGACATATAGAAAGTTACTGCCCTACAGTAATGGAAGTGCCACTTAGCATATTCAAGCCCGTATTTGTAGGATGAATTGTGTGCAGCTGGTATTTGCTGTTGTAGCTGAGAACAATGTCTGCCTTGCCAAAATGGGTTATAGGTGCTTTACTTTTGATATTGGTATTGGTGTGTTGTGTAATGCCACAGTTACTGTAGGGTCATTATCTCCAGTAGATTCTTGGCTCAATTTCTAGAACAGAAGATGAGTTGACTTGGAGGAAGGAAATGGACAGTGCCAGAGGGCACCGGTTCCCCTCTTAGATACACACTATCGATGTACCCTTACTGTGACTGACTTAAGGCCATCATCTGAGGGTTATAGCTCATAGAAGGGAGGAGAATTTGTTTGAAGCCCAGCAGGTAATTAGCAGTATAACTAGTGCTATTCTGCCGGTACTCCTGGCTACTGGGATGACTTAAATTCAAGTGCAACTAAACTCAGCATGAACAAAAGGAAGAAGATAGGTTTGAGAACTTTTATTTTCAAGGGAGAACACTTTCCTTTGTCGAGTTGTAAGGATATAACTGTTCTACTTCATTGTTCTATGCTTACGTTTTTAAGAAGTGGAACACTGTAGCAAAACTGGGAGCCAGCAAGGTAAACGCTTCCTCTATCGCCCATGTTTCTCGATGGATTTTCTCATCCATTTTTTCAGGCGGAATACATGGGTATAAAATCCGTATTTGCCATCTCGGTCACAGCCTTCTCCCCATGAAACTATTCCCACTTGATACCAACGGTCGTCGTCTGGGTTCTAAAGCAAAGAAAAATGGGATTGGCACAAGGAACAGGAGACTTTCAGATCAAAGCCTTGTATGCGCCCCAGCCTGTTTAGTGATGGATACTGGCTTGGAATTCAGACTGGCATCTGCTTGATAACATAGCTTGTTAGAGTAATTTTGTCTCTACTCTTAAACCTCGAAGTGAGAATTGGCCACACTCCTACATTCTGCAGCTGATCTCTGTATACACTGAGGACCCAGTACAGAAACGGGGCTGGATGACTGCAGGATTCATCCTGGTTGCTCAGCCTGGGTATGAGATGGGTTTGCTTCAGCCACTCAGCACTCTCCATCTCTGCTGCCGTTTTTTTAGACTGTTACAAAAGTTCAGCATAGCACAAACCTAGCTCCATACGTTTTATGAGCTTGAACGTGTTGAACATACCTTCATTACAAAAGGTCCCCCACTGTCCCCTTCACAGGCATCTCCTCTCTTTGAGTCTTCAGGACTGTAACCTACATGCAAGAAGAAAGTCAGACATTTGGCTGCAGGGGGAGTGGCTGGTGTTGGCCCTCTTTTCTTTGAAGTATTTCTGCCTCAGTTTTCTGAGAGCAATGACATTGCTTACTGCTCCTGCCAACTACTGGACTTAAATTTAGAAAACCACTTTTTTATATTCTATGTAAACCAGCTAGCTGCTTCCGTCTTTGCAGCACTCCTGTATCCACTGTATTCTTCCATCCTCAGTGCTCTCGTTCCTGTTTTTTTTAATGAGAATGGCTGTTCGTGTCAGCTGCCACTGTGTTCAACAGCTGTAGCTTGAGCTACTGTGCCTTTTTCTTGTCTTAGAAACTCCCATGTGTGTAATACTCCATGTACCCTGTTCTTTCAATCCGTTTACTACAGAAACACATTGCCATCCTCACTGTCACTTTCCTGTCATTGTGCAGGCTCTGCTTCTTCTCTTCCCCAACTGACTGTCTTCCTACAGTCTCACTATGAAGAGGAAAGGGATTTCACTTTAATTCCTGATGCACTAGACAGTATCTGCATTTTCCTATCATCCGTGTCTCCCCTTTTCTGCTGCATGTCTGCATCTCAGCTATTTTTCAAAAATGTTGTCTAGAAAAAGAAACCTTAAGAACACTGTGTTGTCATGAAATTGGCTTCCATCCTAACTCAAGCAACCATATGTGGTGTTAGATACATACAGCACCAAATCAGTCAGAAATCACTGGGGAATTCCTGGTAGGAACTGATAAAGTCTGCGCAAATGAAGAATATAGCAGAAAGTATTAGAGTACATAAATCCGTAGTCTTTTTGTACCTTGTATTCTGTGTTCATTTCTGTTCTCTAACAAAAAGGATATAGTGGCAGAAGAGATTTAGGAAGGTACAGCAAGGATTATCAGAAGTACAGAATGCCTTCTATATTGAGAAGGATTAAATGAATACTTCGCTGCTTGAAAGAGAAATGACAGAGCTGTAAAGGGTCTATAAACTATGGAGAAGAAATATTTTTTTTTCTTATGAGTTTAGATGTGTACCTCTTCAAATTTATTATGAAATAGAACATGAGGAATTAGATTTTCCACACATGCCTAACTAATCTGCGGAGCCTGTTGCCACCAAAGTGCTCCAAAAGGTTGAGACATGCTAGTAGAGAAGAAGGGGTGGCTTGGCTACTGCATAGGATAACTGGTGTGCAGCCTTTAATTTAGGAAGTCACTGAACTGTTCCATATAACAATGAAAAAGACAATTTTATATGTGCTCAGCTCTCACACAGCTGTTGCTGCTGTCTAGCAGAGTGGTGCCATTAGGCTAGTTAGCCTGTGATAGCATGGTATCACAAACTTTACTCATAGCTTTAAGTTCTCCAGACTTCGTGTTTTCTGAGAGTGGAAAAAGTTCTTACTGTAGGGGAGTTACTCTCTACAGAGGGCATTGGCAAATTAGTCAGAAAGTAACCCTGCTGCGGGAGCCCCACCAGGAGCTCAGAGCCCTTGTCTTCCATGGCAAATTGTCCTGGTGTCTCCGGTGCTACTTACCTGCGCAGAACATGTTGTCAGTGACTTTAACTTTGGTGGATGCTTTGCAGGTATCTTGATCGACAATGGGCAAGTTGAGCTGTTGCAGAACTGTGGGCAGGGTGCTTGGGCTGGTGGCCCAGGTTTCTTTCAAGTTTCCCCAACCAGTTACCCGTCCTTTGTAACCCGCCAGCATCAGCCTGCGGAAGGAACCGTGGGTATAATGAAATGTATTTAGCAGCTTTCTCCTGGCTGGCACTCCTGCTGCAAATAAGGCATCTTTTTCTGTCTTTTTTTTGAAGGACCAAAGGAGGCTTTTGTAGCCAGTATTTTTAAGGGCTGTGGGCCAGTCTCCTCACCTCTGCACGACCTCTTTGGTAGGCAGGCAGACAGGATGGATGTAGTCACTGAAGATGATGGGTCTCTTCAAGTGCATGAGTGCAATGTCTCGGTCCATGTTCTCTTTCCAGTTGTACTTGGGATGGATGATGATTTTATCCAGCAGAGCAATCTTCTCTTTATTCTTTTCATACCTGAAACAGTCGTGAAGGAAAGAACTCACTGTACAGTAGCAACTGCTAGTCTTTTGGGGTTCGTGACACTCTCGGCTGCTTTGTACCCTCTGAGACAATACTGGCTTTACACTGGTGCACCCCTTTAGGCTCTCCCTGCTTCTGCCCTCCCTTTCACTTCAACCTGGAGCAAATGACCGCTCCAGTAGATCCCATTATTGAGAGGCATGTGCCAGTGGCTATGTAGGTTTCCTTGGAATGATAGCCCAGCCTCATTGTGTCTCATTACTCCCAAGAGGAAGGCTAGTTCACTCCCGCTTCATCCAGGCACTTACTTTGACCTTACGTGCTTGCCAATTCGCACCAAGATGTCATTTGTAGTTAAGTTCTTGTCCCAGGGGGGATAATAAAGACAGTGAGCTGCAGTCAAGATCCAGCTGTCACTGATGAGGCTGGCACCGCACAGCAGCTCTTGAGGACTCTTTTTGTAGAGCATCACTTGCCTGAGAGACAAGGAGAGAGGAAGACATAGCGGCACTGAAGGCAGGGCTGGCGGAATGTGTCTTGATGTCATGCAGAAAGAGCAGAATTTGCAGTGAGCAGGGAAGAATATTGCACCATACTAACAAAGACAGCTGCCCAAGTGGCTCTCTGCCAAAAGTCTTCCCTGGACATGTATATTCTATGTAGTAGACAATTTACCCTATTTCCTTCACCTGGAGAGGTTTCTCACCCTCTCTGCTCCAGCAAAGCTGTAAAGAGGGCGAGACAAAGACAACACCCCAGCACTCTTACTTTCCCAGAAGGTTGTGTACTTGGCTCGGGAGGAGAGTTTCTTTCCAGCTGTTTTAGGACTGCCTTGTCAACCACTTGGAGAAGCTTTGATGAAAAGCCATAATACCCACGTGCTGCCTGAGATGGGAGAGCCCTTTACTTTCCCCCTGCTTGAACCAAAAGGAAGGGATGCACAGTTCCCTCTGAAGGACAAGGCAAAAATAATGCTTACCAGGGGGAGCTGCCAACTTCTGCATCATCCCCATGGACAACTCTGCCGCCTCTGTAGGACTCCAGCAGCTCCTTCTCACTTTTGTCCTTTACATTTTTCTTCTCAAATAAAGGACGAGTGCCACAATCTGGAAAAACAGACAATCTGGCTTTGTTAGATTCACCGTGGAGAAGTGTCAGCAATCAGCATGCTAAACTGGAAGAGCCTAGGAAGGAAGTGCTTACTAGCTCCATGATTATAACTGGAGATTAACTTGTGACTTCTGAGGGTCCTTCAAGGAGTTTAAGTATCTCCCCCTGCTTTTGACAGCATGTGGCAAGCTCATGTTCCTTCGGAACAGTGAGTGCCCTGTGGGAAGAAGCTGCAGCCTTTCTACAAACTGTGGTGCTGTATCTAGAGTTTTTGCTCACCTGCTTCGCCCGCACCAAAAGTTTTGTCATCAAAGAAGGTTTTGAACTCTTGAGGAAGGGTAGTACGTCCTGTTATTCCCACCAACTGTTCATTCTCATCCTCTAGCGAGCTGTCTGAGAGAGACAAAGACAGACATGGTAAAAGGCCTAGCTGCAGTTTCCATAATTATCGTCAATGTAAATGTTCCTTTCTTCGCACAGTGGCTCTGATGAAGGAATGATGTTTTAAAATCACTGCTCTTTTTACTGCTCCTTGTCCACCACTGAATTTTCAGGGAGAGCAGAACACCTGGGAGACGTAACAGCTCTATACATCTGCAGCAGGTTTGTACACGTGATATTTGGACAAACACGATTTCCACACGCACGGTGCGCCTAGGTCCTCGTCTGTGCCTCCCAGGACAAGCACTTCGCCCTAGTCACACACACTGGTTTGGTTTGCCACTGCCTCACAGGTGTGCCTACCCCAACCAATGCAGGCTTCTCACCGCAGTAGTGCAGATTGCAATATTCAAAGTTGGGTGGCTCAGCTGTGACACACCAGACACCCTCGTCATCTCTGTCTGGATTCCGACAGTAATTCTCCAGCAGCTGCACCTCTGGGTCGATGTGTTTCCCGTGGAGCACCTCTTTGGCTGTCTCAGAGTTCCACGGCAGGCACGTAGCTCCAGACAGGGTCACTGAGAGGGTCCCGGTGTAAAGCATGCCTTTCTCTTGTTCACAGGGCTCCGCTGGCGCTGGTGGCGTGACCCGCGGAATAAATGGAACCGTCGTCCTGTCTTCACCTGGAAATACAGAGACCTGTGATTTCAGTCATAGCTTTGCACTCAGAAGTACTGTTAGCAAATAGCACCAGAGCCCCTTTACTACAGCCCGGAGTTCCATGGGGCATCCCGTTAGGTTTGGGAGCTCCCACCGTGCTCCCATGCATGTGGTGGCCCTCTACAGTACTGCAGTGTCAGAGGAGGTTCTTTCAACAGGAGGTAAGGTGGGGCTGGTGCTATTTGTCACACTTCTCTTTGCCACTACGATGTGAGGGACAACACTGGGGTTCCATTCTGGGGTATCTTTGAGAACCAGCTCAAGGGATGGGTATGTGCCCCAGGCATCGTCATGCTGCTGCATTAGAGCCTCCAATGCCTCTTTCTCAAATGAGTAACTGGGCCATATTGGGGGGGAGCCTTTTTCTGTGATCTGCTACTAAAATTGTGACTTTAACTCTTCCCAATGTTTCTATATCTAATGGTAAGAGAAAAAGTTTCCTGCCAGACTTTCTACGCTTTTTCTTGCAAGTGCCCTGATGGCTGCAAGCTTTAAGCAGCATTTCCTGAGTGAGTGGGTACCAGATAATCTGTTCTGTAGCTGTTGCTTGGCCTCAAGCTGCCTTCTCCTTGTGCACTGGGGGAACCCCCGTGTGCAGAGACCCTCTCTGATTATCCAGCCTAGGGCACAACAGCCGCTGAGCTGGTAGCATTCACCATAATTGGCGACGTCGCTTCTGTGTGAGTCTGACTCACGTCAACGTTATCGCAGAGGAACTGTGCACAAACTGAAGGCTTTTCCAGTCCTGCCGTATCCATGGACATGTGAGTGTAACAGTAAACTACTGTAGGTCACAAACTAACTAGTGAACAGAGATCGTACAGATGCCAGATCACCCTGAAGCAGAGCAGTATCTCTTTCTGGTTTGCCATATTGCAAGCCAGGTCAATGGTAATGATTTTTAAAACTTCACCCCATGGTCAAAACGGTTGCTGACCTCTCTGACTTTCGTAAGAGCCATTGCCTCTCGTCTCTGCTTTTGGAATAGAAACTTCTGCTGTGAGAAGATTTTCTGCTTTCTACCAGTTCTGAGACGGAGGCCAAGCCCCAGGGGAGACAGCTCTGTACTGTGGAGAAGTGGGGAGGTGTAAGTGTAGGGGGATGGTTCTCCATCCTGTCTAGTGCAATGTTGAGAGAAGGGTATCCTCTCTTTTCTTGAGATTGTGGGTATTAAACTGTACCCCTCCTTACAAGTGAGCGTTAAGGCAGGCAGTCAAGCACAAGCTGTAGCGGTTTTGCTCTAAAGGTGGGAATTCAGACCAAAAAAAACAGTATGACTTATTGCTGTCACAATTTAGAGGCAGCTGAGCCAGGATTGCGGGGTGCTCCTGACTGTCAAAACTGTAGTAGATTCCAGGGGACTGCTGATACCAGATTTAATTTAGAGCTAGATTATTGTAGTCTAGAGAAAACAGCGCATTGGAGGAATTTAGCCAAGGTAGATGTATGGGCAGCTCAATGACTTTTCCTCCTCAGCTCCTTTACCCTTAAGCCGCAGCCCCTCTACTCGGACTGACCTCTGTTCATGTGAGATCCCTCCCTCATAACCTTCTCCCCTTCTCTGACACTTTTAGTATCAGTCTCAGCGCAGTGTTCCCTGCCAGCGAAGGGCTTGCTGGGGCGTAGTGCTGAGGCATACCACACACTGGGATGGGACACTCCTCCCGTTCCACTGTTGGGTCTCGGGTGTAGCACCATGGGCCTTCTGAGTTGCCGCTTGGGTTCCTGCAGTAGTTCTCCATGAGGTTGGGGTAAATGGTGGCATTAAATCTATTAGAAAAAGCTGGTTAGGCTAGGAAGAAAGGAAGGAGACCCTGGCGATCCCTTTAGGGGTGTGTGGGAGATGAACTTACTTAGGTATATGTGGATATTTGCTTGTCCACACTTGACATTCAATCCCTGATTTGGTGTAGCTAATTGTCCCCCGATAGTTCTGGCCCAGCCCAAGAGAGCAGTTACCTGTCAAAATCCCAACATGGTGTAAGCCAGGGCCGGTGCAAATGGCTGTTGTGTTTTTCAAGGGCAGAGGTACCATCCCATTCACTTTTGCTTCCTGGATGAGCCTGCACAAGCACGGGGGGGGGGGGGGGGGGGGGGGGGGCAGCCTCTTCATGGGGTGGGAAGAGCAGGTAGCTTAAGTTCTCTCTGCCTCATCAAAGGGAGCTGGCCCTGAGGCTCTGTGCTTTGCTTTGGCCTGTAGGCACACGTCAGAATCCCTCCAAGAGCCTGGCCTTGGGGACACCTGACTGTCACAAGGAGAAATATACCTACCCCATGCTGTTTCAGGGGGGCAGTTACGCTGTTTGTGTAATGGTTACTGGGGAAATAAAGAAGAAGAAAGGAATTCCAAACTTCCTTCCTGCTATTTTGCTTTCTAATCAGATTAGAAACTTTAGACTATTTCTTTTTCCTTACAAACTTCGCAGGAAGCAAGTTCCTGGCACTCACTGTATCTGGGAGACTGAGGTCAACATGAATTTCTTACCTTCTAGACAAGCATTCAGAATTGTCCTGGACTTTCTCAGGCCCTGACATGCTAGCAAAATAAGAAGAAAGGAACACATTATATGAAAGGAATCCAAATAAACATCATAGTTTGAACTAGTTTATCATCTAGGGACAAAACACAGGTGCTTTGTTCTGGAAAGTGAGCTCTTGTAAGAGGGTGGGGAGCCACCTCTCCAGGATGAGACAGCGCATCTTAAGGGCCAACATAGCACCTACAGGCCTTGAAGCAACTTACCTTGGTATTTTGACCAGAATGCCTCCTGTAAAAACAAAAATTGTAAAAATTATGTATCTAAGAGTAGGGACACAGAACATCAGACCTTGCTTAGCTACTGCAGTTCAAACCAGTAGGAGAATGCTCCAGCACAACAAATGGAACAGACTAACCTAGCTCTGTTGACATCAATTACTACTGAGTCCAACAAAGCAAAAATGGTGATATAAACCCACATTCCCACTCCTCAGGCTCGGGAATCAAGAGAATACTGTTGTTTCTAAAAAGACCAAAGGTGCTTACAACCTTCATCAACCTGCAGAGGACACAGAGCCTGGGCTACAGTGCAGAATTTCAAGGAGCTGGACCTAGAACTTCTAAGGCCACAGGTCACAGGTAGGTATTGCTCAGTTCTTTAGATCTACATCTCTGCTGGCCAGTCTGGGGGTGATTGCTTTAGAAATACTTCACAGGGGTTGTATCTTGCTGGCTTAGAGTTCTGTTTATCTGTTCGCTCTTGTATTCTTGGGTGTGGAATTCAGCATGGATACTGGCCTTGAGGCTAGGAGCAAATCCCCAAAGGATGCAGAACAAATTTAGCAGTCAGTGAGTCTGGAAGCCAGAAGAAGGGATGGACTGTGCAAAATCTTTAGCTCAAAGGAGCCTGAGGCACCTGCACTCAGTGTTCAGTTGCTAAGTCAGCCCTTCTGTGAGTGCCTGGGACTGTGGCAGTTCAGATGTGTGTAGCAGCACTGTGCTGAATTAGTAGAAGATGCAACTCGGGACTGAGGGGGAGACTCTCTCTTTTTCATTTCATGCTTAAAATAGAGGGAGGGAAAAGAATCTGAGCTTTGAGCTGCGTTCCCTGGAGTGGCTCCAGGAGTGAAACTTCCTAAGAAAGCCTGAGCTCTCCCTGGGGCTCACACCCGTCAGCCTCATCTTTGGTTCACAGAATTGAATCTTAAAACCCCAGCCCCTGGCTGCCTGTGCGACCCAGCTGAGGGGAGGTTTCCTGGCAGCATCCGTACGTACCGTCTGAGCCGTGGATTCAAGGGCTTCAAAAGCTTCCTCGTAACTGCATGTCTCCTCCAGGCACTCTCGCTCCAGGTTTCCCTTAAGCATCTCTTCCAGGAATCCCTTGTTGGCACGTCGTGGGCGCTTGAGCACTGACAGTGCCTGCCCCTTTTCCAGAAAAACTGCTGGGTCAGAACACAGCCAGTCAAAGGGGTGCTTGCACGGGGAGGGCCCCTTCTTCTCCCCTTTCAGATTCCAAAAACCACACACAGCTGACGTGGTGGTCCCAGAGCCCAGCCTCCCCCCAGCACACCATACAGAGAGGAGAAACCCTGTCAAGTCTACACCTGATGATCAGAGCAGGTTCTATATAATTCATCCATCAGGGCTCATGTCATTTAGGCAACAGAAATGACAGGAATCCTCTGCTATCCTTGGCAAAGCTGCTCTGCTCATTTGCAGTTAGGTAGAGGCTTGTTTGCTTGGAACCTGCTACTGCTCCATGCCAGCCACTGTCTTTCTGTCTTGCCAACCTCGATCAATGTGCTAAGCACAGCTTGGTTCCTTCTTCATGTTCAGAGACCGTGATTTGAGACCTGTAGACAGGCCTGACCCCACACAGCTATGGGCCAGAGAGGACCTAACCTCATGTTAAGAAAAGACAGATGATGAATTAGAGGCTCTGATAAGAGGAAAGGAGCAGTGAGCAGGTGGTGCCATACTGCGTATGACCTAGAGTTTAGATAAGGGACAGCTGGGGAGGCAATGGAGAATTGCAGCCACCCGGGTCAGCTGAGGAACTCTAGCCCGAAAAGGCCCATAGTTGTGTTACACATGGTCCTGGACTGAGCCACATTCCCCTTCCCCACAATCTCCCTGGTGACCAACACTGGGTTGTTGTCACCAGCTGCTGGATGCTGCTGCATCCTCCCGTGTAGGAAAGCCCAAATGCTCGCCCCACTCTCAGCAGCCTTTCACTCCCAGCTTCAAGCTTCCAGAAGGTCCTCCCTGCCTTACCGAGAAAACCTGCCACTGACTTTACCCCTGGAAAAAAATAACCCCATCTTTCTTCCTCCTGTCACCCACTGGTACTGTCCTTCTCCCTGTGGCATTGAGTCTTACCTCCGGCATGGCTCAGTGTGAGGTGCAGAAGACTGGAAAAGAGCAGGCCCCTCAGTAGGCTGGTTTTGTTGTGCGCCATGCTGTACAGCCCTGGCTGCAGGGGAAATGCAAAGGGAGCAGAATAAGTGGAGTCACAGCCCCTCTGGGTTAATATTGAACCAGAATGAAGAAACAGGACTCCAGAGGTCGTGGTATGTCAGGGACAGTGGGACTGAGGCTCCTCTTATCCCGCCTCTCTTGGCATCTCTCCCTCCCTTCAGGGCATCTTCATTTTCTTACCTAACTGGTGGAAGCCAAGCAAGATGTCTCTGGATCCCCGTAGGACTAAAATTAGCGTCCCATTTCCTAACGGGGAAGAAGGTCAGAGCAGCAAGAGGACAAACTTGTCCCAGGGCACAGGGAGAACTCAGCCTGGCACGGAGAGGTCTCTGCCAGCTCACAGCCAGCCCAGACAGAGCAGCTCGCTCCGTCTCTCTCCGTGCCACTCCGCTCCCGTGCAGCTCCTGGCACCACCGCTGCCTCCCTACCATGCCAGCTGGCTGCCTGACGCTGCCCCTTCTCGGAGCCTGCACTCTAGTAGCCTCACACGCAGCAAGGCGTTGAGAGCTCCTTAGCTATTCCCAGTCCTTCTCCTCTTTTTAGCTGCAAGCCCCCCCCCCCGGCTCTTTCCCCCTGGAATCCAGTTGTCTTTTCTCCCACCAGTTATCAGCGAGCTAAGCCCCAGCTACTTTGGCACCAGAACACACAGTTTAAGTCTCCCCCCTTCTCCCTCGCCCATGCCAAGGAGATGAAGGGGTGCCGGTGACAGCCCTGGTGGAATTTAAATTTTCCTCCCACTTAGGTCAGCAGTGCCACTGGCAGTGCATACTTCCCACTGCATTATAATTCCCAGTGGAGTGGAGGAGGGTGAAACGGCAGGAAGTTTGGACTCCCCCCTTTTATTCCCACCCCAGTGGAACATAAGAAAGTACAGACAAAAGGAAGCAGAAGCTCTGACGAGCAAGAAGCTAGCACACCCAAAATCAGCCAGGAAAACTAGGGCTTCCATGAACGGGGTGGCAGGAATATTCTGGATGTCACGGCATCAGCTAATAAGTCAAGAATTGGGCTACCAGTGCTGGGAAAGCAAGATTCCTACAGCAAGCAGCAAACTGCCAGGGTGGGGGTAGCCTCAGGAACTGCCACATGGCACAGAAGTTTTTTTCTGCCAGTGGGGAGCATGTTTTGTGCTGTGCCTCTGTGCAGCAGATACATCTGTAATGTTTATCTCCATAGAAGGAGTGTAAATATTAGCATTAGGGTGGCTGAGGAATGGCTCTGTGGCCACTGGTGCAAAGAGCAGTTGCAGAGGTTCCCTCCCTCATCTAAGAGTGTCTCCTGTTCTCACCCACACACCTCCCTGGATTTTGGAGAGACACCTTTAGGAATGGTTGGGATGCCCGGGGTGGAGGAATGTGTGCGTGCAGGATTAGGCACAACCCTAGAACCTCCCCGGGTTATTTAGCAGGGGGGAAGCAGCGTCTAGGCCAAGCAGGCAGGCAGGGACAGGAGGGAGGTGTCAGGGCACAAACAGGTTTTGGAAAAGAGATGAAATCAAAGTCCCTGCCGTCCCACGCAGCAGCCACCACGGCTGGCCCTCAGTGTGGGAGGAGGCACAAACAGCCCCACTTTTGCTGAGCCTTGCTCAGCTGGCAGGGAGAAGAAGATAGCAGCAAGGACAATTTCTTTACTCTCTCTGTGATAATTTGGCTTTGGTCTTATGTTGCAGGTGGGACGAGGGACCTCAGGGCTGCTTTTGGGAGGTATAACTGAGCAAGCCCATATGGATGTGAATGCCGGGAAGAAACACCACTGCAGAAAGACTGCTGCCCACCCCCCAGCTGGAGCTGCTGCTGTGTTTTCTGGAGATGTAAGGCACCTGTGCAAGTGTTTATTATGGATCCCAGAAAGAAAGGCATTCAGAGTCTGTAAAGTATTGATTAAAACACCATTTGCTGGGGATTACATTAGCAGGCAAAATGGGATAGCGTTAGATAACCCAACAGCCCTTCAGATGCTGGGAATACCAAGCAGTAGAGCACCAGCCCCTGCCACACTGCATGTCTGTGCTGAAGTTCACCAGTGTCATGGTCTTCAGGGTTTTTACAGGATTTTCTCTGAAGTAAACAACTCTGTTATTTCTGCTGTCGATCAAAAGGATGTTCACATAAGAATATGCTGTTTCACTCTAAGACAAGGACAAGGACATGGTGGTGGCACCATCACCAGGGACCCAGCAGAAGCAACCTGTGGTATGTGCAGCACTGGCCTGCACCCTCCCATGTCAACTTGTTACGTGGATCACCACTATTTCCTTTCCAATAGTCTCAGTCACTTTTTTTTTTTTTTTATCATTCCTGCATCTCTCTGTCTCTTCTTTATAATAACCAGGCAACCTTTACACTGCAGCTTAAGTCAACATTGTTATATTTATGCATAATTTTTACCATCTTCGTTCCTTTAAAGGATACTTCTATGGTATCATGCTTTATATAGGGTTAACTTTAAGCAACACCAGAATACAGCAGTTAAGCTTGGTTATCAGACAGGTATGAATATCCTTTAATACTTACTTATGCCATCTTCCTTTAACGTTACTTCTGTTCTGGTTCCTACATTCATTCTGTTGCTTAAGCACAGGTTCAAGAAAACCTTACTGAACCCAACCATTCTGTCACTGTGTCTGGCCACTTCTTTTCCAGTTGCTGTTGTTCTTTCCCTCTGTGGAACAGGACAAACCCACCTACCAGGGCCATTACGTTGTTAACTGTAACTGATGAAACCTTTTATCTCAAGATTACTCAAGGTTACATCCATCACTTAAGTTTCAACTACTTCTTTACATCGGTTTTGCTCTATAATCGGAGATTTTCGCTACATCCTGGGATATTTTCCAGCCCTTTCTGGTATTTTACAACAATGTTAGTAATTAAAGATGCTGGGTCTTTCCATTATAGCCTTTTCCTGTACTTTAACGGGCTTCTCAGGCTCCTCTGTTTCTCCCATTCTTGTGGTTAGCCTCTGCACCAGGACAGCCTGCATCAGCTACCACCTCTCCAGGGGCTTTGACTTCCACCCCTGAAACATTTAACTCTTCCATCTGTTCGCTGTTCCTGTAAGCAACTTTTTATCATTTCATTTTCTTTCTGCCTTCACTCACCCCTGAGTGATGGATGCTATTTTCTTTCTTAGGGTAAGAGAGTTATGATTCATGCCTTGACCCTCCCTGTGTTACAACTTTCAACACATCTGGGAGTTTTGATCTCCCTCTATGAGTTTACTCTTCTTTTTAAGTGAAGAAAGCCTTTGGCAATTATTTATTTCCTATGCAACTATTTTTCCAGCTTCCAGGGAAAACAGTATAGAGGGTTTGGCCTTGGTCAATTTTCTTGGGCCTTCATCTACTCTAGGACAGATACGGTTTGCTGTTTCAATAGTTGGGGTATTTCTGAATATGTTCCTGAAGTGAGTTATACAGATTGATCGCCAATTGTAACACTTTGGATACCATCACAGAGGATGAATCACACAGGGCTTCCCCTGTCCCTGAGGACGGGGAGCTGCTGAGCGGGGAGGACTTCAGGACCCAGAGAACCATCCCTTTCCCTCGCAGCCTGCTGCTGCCTTTTCATTCCAACACCTCGTTCAGGATTAAGACAGTTTCCAAGTCGGCCAAGGGTTGAACCTTGGCTGTGGTGTGAGGTTTAAGTGTCACACTTAAGTTTACGTGCGTGCCCGATACCTGGTGAGGCCCTGCCAGCACGAAGGACCCCAGCCATGCGACAGACCTGGGCACGTGTCACCCTAGAGCGTTGCAGCAGCACCCCCAAGCCCTGGTGAAGCCCCGCCAGCATGGTGGAGCCCCACCAGCCAGGAGATCTGTGTGTTTGCTGCCTGAAGCTGTGGGGCAACAGGCGCACGAGATCTCCAGCCAGCCAGGTCATCCGTGTGTCTGCTGCCCTGAAGCGTAATGATTACCAGCATTATAATGCAGCAAACTGTGTGATTGTTGCCCATGCCAGCGTATGGGACCAGGCAGGCACCCATCCTCTCCCTCGCTCTCCTTCTTCCAGTGAGATGTTTCTTACCAGGATCCTGCCAACTACACCAAATGTAATGCACTGGTGCAAGTGTTTGTTATGGACCCCAGTAAGAAAGGCACTCAGAGCCCATAATGTATTGATTAACATACTGTTTACTGGACATAACACAAGAAAGGGTACAGCATTAGATAATCCTACACCCCCTCAGATGCTGCAAGCACACAGTTGTATAGCACTGGACAGATATCTAGTTGGGCCATGGCACGTTGCACAGGTCCCGTCCACGCTGAGGTTCACCAGCATCGTGGTCTTCAGGGCTTTTATAGGATTTCCTTAGGAGTAAACAACTTTATTCATCATTTTGCTGTCCAGCAAAAGCTAGTTCACGTAAGAACGTGCTGCTTCACCCCTAAATAAAAACAAAGACACGGCAGTGGCATCATCACCGGGTGCCCAGTGGGAGTCACCCCTGGGCTCCTCAGTCAGGATTAGCTGGCTCAGTTTATCCTGCAGCACAGCACAGTCCTGCCCCTACCTATTCAGATCAACTGTTTAGGTGAATAATATTTCTGTGAGGACCTCCTAATTCATAATTGCTCCTATTTTTTTTGCTCCTGTTATCTCACAATAAAGAAGGTAGTCGCAGGTCAGAAGATGAAGCAATAGGGGCCTGGATTCTCCCCTTCCCCCAGTTGCTCAGCTATTCTTTCCTGGTTCTGCTGTGACAGAGGGCACATGCTTCAAACACAGCACAGGAGCCCAGCTCCAGCGAGAACACTTTGCAGCTGTGTCAATATTTGAAAACTGCAAGAGTTAGGATAGGCACTAAAGGGAGAGCAGGAGGAAGCACGGCGGCTTCTAATACAAGCCCCCCTTATACACCTGTGCTCCCACTGGGCTGTCTCCAAGCCCTCAGGGCAAAGATTGAGCTCATCTGCCTCCTGGCTTTAAACAATCGCTAAAAATAAGGACACCCAAAGGTTTATTAGTTGATTTTACCTTCCATCCTCACTTCACATCGAAGTGTCATGGCTCTGACTCCAGCCCCTTGTCTGCAAACTGGTCATAAAAGTTTATGGAAAAAGTTGAATATAGAAACCGCCAAGAGCGGCTTTTCAAGTTGTCACATTACTGTGTTCGTAGCACCCCAAAAGGGAACTGTGCCACTGATGTTTTCCCGGTGACACTATACCCTCCTCTTGTGCAGTGGGCATAAAAAGGCCAGAGAATTTAAGCCCCTAAACAAAACTTTTTTGGGGAAATTCAGATGTTTGAGAAGTGCAAGAGAGCAAGAATAGCTAAAACGGGACATGAAAGCAAATGAAAGCAGTGTTTGTATAACATGTGAAAGGGGAATCTGGAGTAGGCAAGCCTGAAAGGCCTCTGTTAGGTCCCTTCCTATGAGGTCAAGTTCACGTCGCATTAGGAACTGTGCACTTCCTTCCTGAAACGGGACCAGTTTCCTTCAGCGTGCCTCGGTTGGCAAATGAGCCCTGAAAAAATGAAGCAGTCTCAATGCTGGGGTGTAGCTGGGGCGGTGCTGTCTTTTAGCTTTTTGGTGCAGGAGCAGGAAAGAAATGGAAGAGAGTCAGCAAGAAGGTGAGAAAAAGAGCAAGGGGAATAGATTAATGAACCCAACTTGAACGTGGAGGGGAAAGGCAAAGCCTTCTGAGCGTACTGAGATGAACTGTTGAGCCCTTACCTGGAAAGGTGAGGAGCCTCTCACCTGGGGACAGCGAAACTTGCACCATACAGTGCTGTTTGCACAGTGAGACACGAAGCTACCCTTTCACGTCCTCAGACCATCCAGTCACCGTAAGGCCAGGAAGGCAGCAGCAAGCAGAACGGGTGACAGTGGAGAAGGAACACTCAGCCCCAGCTCCAGGTCGGGACTTGGCTTCTGCTAATTGTGAAAAATGCTCTTCAAAAAACCCACAACAGAGATACCTCGTGAACGCCTGGGAAGCTGCTTCCCAGCAACGTCTGGCATCAGCATCACCTTCAAACGCTCAGAAGTGCTGCTGAGCTCCAAGAGTACGCCCAGGAAAGTGTCTGAATGGCAGCAATTAGAGAAAGAAAAACCTGTAAGGAAAGCGTTGTTCCAAGCTGCTGCTCTGAGGTTTTTTCCTGCCTTCCCCCACAGTGCACTGTCACCCTCTGAGAGCGTAACAGAGGCAGAGCAGAAGCACTGCTCATTAGGGCTCTGGGTGTTTTCTCTTAAGACATTATTCCCATCAACAGCCAGTGCCTTCCCTGCACCAGGCCCAGCACGTGGCATGTGTAGGCTCCAGCTCCAAGGAGCAGCTAAGGAACAGACCCATGTATGCACAGGCGGTTACCTCCAAGACTGCTAATTCCACCTGGGGCTGAGCCACGGGGCCTTGTTGCCACAGAGAGACAAGAGGGCTAGTTTTTTTTTTTTGTTGTTTTGTTTTTGTTTGTTTGTTTGTTTGTATTTTTTTTTTTTTACCCCACTTTAATAAGTACAGAAGATGATCAGCCAGGGCAGGCTGGGATAGTCAGGTCCCAGTCTCCACCTCCACCATTTCTGCCACTGCTCCGAAGCCCAGCCCCTCCTGGATGATGACCAGGTCACCCGGTGAGCCCTCATCCTGCACGATAACGCATCCGTCCTCATGCTCCGAGATGGTGATTTCAGTGATGTCCTTCGCCAAACGGCAAAGGCCCAGTGGGGCCCCCCGTGTGCCCCAGGATCCGGGCGGCTGCCTCGAGACTGGTAAGTAGCAACGCAGCGACCGCTGGCTGCGATCAGCAGCTCGGCGTCGTTTGCTGGCCCCGGCACCTCCGCTATGAGTAAGGTGGGCTCTGCCACAACCTCCTGGTGGCTCTTTCTCTGGGGTTTTTCCCTTTTTGCCTGGAGTCGGCCCACAGCAAGCGAGGCCACTCCAGTGGCGAGTTCCTCACCGTCCTTTTCCGACTCGCGGGTGAGCGCATGGCGCGCAAGGCTCTAGGGAAGGGCGTGCCCCCTGCCACAGAGCTCGCATTTGTAGGGTTTGCCAGCCCGGTGGGATTTCTGATGGTGCCACAGCTTCACGATCCAGGGTGTAGGACTTGCCGCACCGCTCGCAGCGGAGAGGACGCTCCCCCGTGTGCAGGCACACGTGGTTGCCCGAGGAGCCGGGTTTGGCCAGCTGGCATCCCCCGGGACCATCTCCTTGGCGCAAAGGCCTTGCCGCACCGCTGGCAGGAGAAGGGTCGCTGGCCGGCGTGCAGGACCCAGAGCTCCCGTGAGCCCCGTTCGGTGCGGTGAGCCCTGTCGCACTGGGTGCACTGGAAGGGCCGCACGCCCCGGTGGGCCAAGGCGTGGGCCTTGAAGCTCTCCTCTGAAATGACAGGTCTTGCCGCACCCCGGGCACAGGAAGGGTCTGCGGCCAGCGTGGACAAAGCTGTGCTTCTTGAGGTGGCAGAGCTGCAGGAAGGCTTTACCGCACTCCCCACAGCGGTACCTGCTCTTGGTCATCTCCTTCTGCGACCGAAGCTTTCAGTGAGGGGCTTGGGCTGCCAGAATGACCCTCCGCCACCTCCATGTGCTCCTCCCGCCCCTCAGGCCCTTCCAGTGGGCCCTTTCCCCCACGCTCTGGGGATGCCAGTCGGGAGTCTTTGGAAGCTTTGCTCTCTTTCTCACAAGTCTCTACGCTCTGTCCTTCAGGACAGCCGGGCTGCTGGGGTTCCTGCCCGGCTGTCCGGCCACCACGGCCCTCCTGGAGCTGGCCGGCCAGGGCACGCACCTCGCACAGCTCGCCAACCAACCGAGCACCGAGTCCAACCGCACTCGAGGACGACAACAGATCCGGGTCTCCTGGGCATGCCTTTTTATGCCCCATCTCCACTTTTTCTGCTGCAGATCCAGGATCCACACCCTTGCCCAGTTCTTCCTTGCACCCGGCCGAGACGGTCCCAAGGTGCCAGTTCTCGGTCCTCAGCGCCTCGGCTCACGTTTGGAAGCTGTGCTTTCCCCTTCTTGCAGCCTGTGGAACTGTTGGGCAGCCAGCTCGCCCACCTCGGCAGGGACATCAAGGACCACGGTTTCATCAGCCACCACCTTGGAGACATCGGCCCCCCCCCCGCACAAGCACAAAAGCGCCGCGGGTGGGTGTTGTGCTATGACACGATCGCAGCTGGATCAGAGGAGCGAGACCAGTGTGAGTGTTGGGGGCAGACACTGCGGTAATCCGGGGACTCCGGCGTGGGAACCGTTACTTTTATAACCTTTTTTTTTTTTTTTTTTATTTTGCTTTTAAATGGCGGCACCTACCTGCGAGGGGCTCCGCCGCCGGCCCGCCGGGAGAGGCCCCGTCCCCGCCTTGACGGCCCCAGCGGCAGCTCCGCGGTCCCGGTGCCGTTCCCGGTCCCGGTGCCGGTGCCGGTGCCGGGTCTCTCCACGCCGGCGGAACCGGGGCGGGGCGGCGCGGCGCTTCCGGCGGATGCCGGCGGGGCCTCGGCGGGCGGCGGCGGCGGCGGCGGGGGCAGGTACCGGTACCGGCACCGGCACCGGCGGGATGGGCCCGGGAAGGGGCCCGGCGCGGAGCCCCGGCGTTACCCCGTGGAGGGGGGGGGCGGTTATTTCTGGGGAGAGCGAGGGCTCGGAGGCCGCGGAGATCCGGTCGTTTCTGCGAGGCCCTTCCCGCCGGCCCGCCCCGTCCCCCCGTCCGCGGGTGGCGTGCCCTGCGCTGTGGGGGTCTCGGGGGCTTGCTTGTAAACGCGTAAACGCCGAATCTCGGAGTGCGGCGAAGGGGGATCTGGAAACGGGCTGTGGCGGGAAGGGAACGGGAGAGGATCGGAGGTCCGGAGGAGGGGTGCAGCCCTTGTAGGGCCGTGCGTGGGCCCCGTTTCTTCACGCGTGGCGCCGTTTCCGCGCACAAAACGGTGGGTGGATCCGGCGCGGCGCTGGCGGCCGGGTCCGTGCTTTGTGCCGCGGCTCCGGGCGGGGAAGGGCAGCTCGGCGCTTCTGCTGTCGGACCCCGCGGGGAGCCACGCAGGTTTTCCAGCGGGCACGGGGGGTGGCCTTCAGCAAAGGGGTTTTGGGGTGCCTGGGGAAGAAAGGCTGCTCATTTTAAAAGCTGTTCGAATAATGAAGGACCGAAGAGTTTCCCCGAGCAGAAGTGTCCTGGTCACGGTGAGCCAGGCAAAGCCGGTCTGGCCCTTGACCCCCCGATTCTTTCAGGGTAGCGATGCTCTCGGAATCATCAGGCCTGATGTGGGGGGAAGACTCGGGCTGGGCTTTCCCCGTGAGGCTCAGTCCTGGAGCTCACCCACATGAGCGAATACTTGGAAGGTCTGCTGCTGAGTAACTGCTTCCTTTATTTCTTTCTTTTTATTTTTTATATATATAGTAAAGCTATAGCAAAGTGCAGGGACTTGATTGATGTGTACGGAAAAACAGACGCTTGTGCAAATGAAACAGAACTGGGAGGAGGTACAGATGGCAGCAGAGTCAGAAAAATAATAGAGCCACCCCAGAAGTGGGGTTCCTTTGGGTGTGAGCATTGCTTGTTAATTGGGCAGAGGAGAAGAGGCCACTTGGCTTTTGTGATTCTTTATTGTGTGTGAGTACAGGTCCAGAGTGGGGTAATATGGCCATGGATGTTTTTTTTTGATGTGTAGATTTACTTCTGAATTAATAGTACTCCGGGAAGAAAAACAGGAAAAGGAAACTGCTGAATAGGTGCAGCTTAGAAATAAGTGATGGAAACTGGAATTGCAGAAAAAAAAAAAAAACAAAACAAAACCCAGTTTGTGTGAACAGCAGCTACCAAGACTTCATAGGTACAGGTGAACTGTATTCTCTGGGTAAATTCTGGTGGGATCTTGTATAAAGAATCTCCAGCTCAGAATTTGTGTGAAAATTGTATTTTAAAGGGCTGAGGTTTTTCTCCTTCACCAGAATGTGCTGTTTTCCAGCACATCTCTGTTACCAAGAAAGTCAATTTTTATTCAGACAGCAAGTGTTCAGGTCAACCAATGTAGGTGCAGAAAACATACTTAAATGCTTGGGAAAATGGAAACAGTTGGCTCTCTAGAGACTGGCAGTAAGTAAATGCTTCTAATGTCAAGTGTGATTCTTTAGCTCTTAAATGTTTGGCTAGGCCTTTTAATTTTTTAAATCTAGGTGTGTCATTTTTCTCACCTTATGACTGGCTATACCGGGTGTATCACTTGCATTTTGTCATGAGATTTATCCTAAAACAAGTGGGGTTTTTAAATTGTGTTGAGTCTGGTGAAATGCTGGTTTGTGATGACCGTTTCGCCCTTATACTGATACAAATGGACTTTCTGTTCAATGGCAGGTTCTGTTTATAGGTCCGTTTTGAGTACACAGGGAAAAATCTCATGCTGCTGCACTGTCAGGAAGTGAAATGTATACCCTTGTACTTAGATCCCCTGGTAGTTTCTTACTTCCTAACTCCGGGTCTCTCCTTCTCAATGCCTGGTAGTTCCCAGACATTTAGAGGATTATATTTCTCTAAACTGTTCTAGGGTTACCTGATGTGAGACCTGGTGCCTTTTTGTCTTCTGCACTGTTGGGAAAGGGCTGGGGAAAATTCTGTAAAAAACCTGGGTCTCTCTGGGAGTTAGTCTGGTTCACACGAAGGACCTGAAGTCTAAGAGGTCGTCTGCTCTGGATCACAGAATGGTTTGGGTTGAAAGGGACCTTAAAGATCCTCCTTCCGTTAACATTTCTGCTGTGGAGCACTAACTTAGAGCCAGGGGAGCTGCCTGCCTGGCTGTGAAGAGCACGTGGAGGTATCTGGGGAGTCTGGTCTGCCTTTCTAAGGGGTGAGGAAGGTTTTGGCAAGAGCAGTATCCACTGGGCTCTTTTTCCAGTGTGGAACTGTAAGGATCCTACTCCTGCTTTCCTTCTTCCACATAGTGCCACCCTAGGATTAATTTTATGCCTAAAGGGAAATCCCCCAGTGCTGTCTAATAACCAGCTCTTCTGCTTCTGATCAAGTGCCGCAGGTCGACTGTGAAGCCAAGTAGTGATCCGTGTAGGGACACAGGATGCGTGGTGCCCTGCTGGCCCTATGGCAGCGCCATCACTGCTCTGTGGGAGGATTTGGATTTGGTCCTTAAGTGCTTCAGGACCTCGCTTTGGGGACACCGTTGCTACTGGGCATCCCCAGGAGTCTCACATGAAGGGCATCTCAGCAGTTGAACGTAGGTCCTCCGTCCCCACCGGCGCCGGGAGGTCCCTGGGAATGCTGAGGCACTGCTCTGGGGGCCCGTGGGTGCTTCCTCAGCGTGGGGTGCTGGGCTGTGGGGCTGCTGAGCTGCAGTGGGGAATGCTTTAAGCGCACTGAGTCATAAGAGTTGGTGCCTGGTGTTACCATAGAAATTGGATCAGCTGCTAGGGGTGGGGAGCCCTTGTCCCTTGGCTCCGCTGCTGCATGGTTCCAGCATGAGCTCACGGTGCAAGGGAACCTGATTTCTTGCTCCTTGTCCCTTCGAGATCAGAGGAGGTCAGGCAGCTCTCACAGCCCTCACCGGAGGGCGGGCGATAATTTTGCTTGGGTCTCTGCTTGGCTGCAGTGGTCAGACCCTGTGTGTTTGCCGTGCTGCCTCCGGAATCTGCTGGCCATCCCTGTCCAGCTCTTTTATAGTTCAGGAATCTTAATTCGTTTACTTAGCAATAGCTCCCAGCCCTTTGGGAGCCCTAGGGAGGTGTAAACGGGTGAGTAGCAGATAAGCAAGAGCAGGAAGTAGGAAGTGTGGAGTGATCCAGAGGGAGGGGACAGACACTGAAAATCCGATTTCCTGTACTCTCAAAATGCATCCCCAAGCTTGGTCACAAGTATTGCCCTGAGCATGGACGCGATGCCTTCCAGTGCTGTCTCTCACAGGTTTTATCCTCTGTGCTCACATCGGAGTAACAGTTTCATCGTCTGCTCTGCATAAATATTCCAGCTCTAGGGATGGACGATGCAAAACATCGTTGCCCCCCTCAATTCTACTAAAGCAAATAGCTTTACTGTGAATATAACCTTTCCACACAAAGGCGTTGTGCCTCCTCAGATCATCTTTGAACCCTTTGCTCTTCACATAATGCAAAACCAGCAGAAGCCTGTCTGGGAAACAGCGTTACAGAGAGTCTTGGTGGTGCAAGGTGTCATTTTGTTTTGCTACAGTTCCTCTTGGCTTGCTGCCCGTTGGCCGCTGAATTACCATCCCTGTGAGCGATCCAGATCTATGTACTTGTCCTTTCCCAGTGTTTCCTTGCTTACTTCCAGGACACTGACTTTAGAGGATAGCAGCTGTTTCCTAGGGCTTGTCCCTAAGAATTGGTACCCTTAGGAGGTGCTGTGCTGGCTCAGCCCCGGGTTTGACACCTTCTCTGCTCCAGGTACGAGTGAGAAATACTTGCAAGCAGCAGCAAGCACACCAAGCTGTCTGTCTGTTGGACCCTGTTAATTCCTTGGTTTCCTCAGTATTATGACACTTTTGGAGCCAGACTGATTCTAGAAATAGGGCTTTAAATTAAAGAGATGACTGCTTGCTGTTACGGAGAAAGGCTTTGCTGGGTGATGCTGAAGGGAGATGAGGGTTGTATGTGTATTGTTCTTGTCTTACCAGCTCAGCCTACGAAATCCTGTTTTAAGAAGCTGTTCGCCTCTGCGTTCAGATCCCAGCACGCTGAAGCACCCACTTCAGTGTTGTCGAGAGCTCTGGCCCTCTCTTGTGGGGAGAAAAAGGGGGGGTGTGTGTGTGTGTGATTCCTGGGAAAGCTTCCAGCGCTGGGCCAACTGTGGAAACAGCTGGGCTTTGTGCCAGCCCTTCGGAGAGAGGGGGAGCTCAGAGCTGGCCCGGGGAGTGTCTCAGGCAGGGGCTGGTGTAGCCTGTCGCCTTCCTCAGCGTCTCGGGGCTGCTCCTGTTTCAGGAGAGGAGCTACTCTGTACGGAGCTGTGCTCAAGCAGGGACTCACTGCGAGGGGTGGTACAGGCTCCCGATGGCCTTCTGATAGGAATTGGCTCGAAAGAATCCGACATATGTCAGTGCTCCTGGCGAGGAGGAGGAGTGTATCAAGGAGGAGGGGAAGCACGATCTCTGGATAAGTGAAGATAAGGGAGGATTTGGGGAAAATCGGTGAGAAGAGGAAGAGCCCCTGCGGGGAAGTAAGCTTGTGATCTCTGTGTCTCACCTAGCAATCGCTGCAGTCCTCGTTCTAGACGCTGCAAAATAAACTGCGGTATTTGGGGGCCATGGCTACAGACCCCCTCTCGGAGCTTCAGGATGACCTGAACTTGGATGATACCAACCAGTCCCTCAGCCAGCTCAAACTGGCCTCCATAGATGATAAGAGCTGGCCAGCAGATGAAGCCCCTTCTTTTCCCAAATCAGGTAAGTATCCTGCTTGTTCGGGGTCTGGGTTCTGGCCAAAAAGAAATTGTTTGTCCTGCAGCATTGTGGTCATATCTACAAATACAGAGAGCCCCAGCTCCATTCCAAAGCTTTATAGATGCATTAATCTTGCATCAGACTCGAGTGAATTAGCCCTGCCATTGAACAGCACTGAAAAGTTCAGAGCTAGCTGATGTAAATATACTCTTCTCAGTCCCGTGGCTGGCTGCACATTGGTGCTGACAGTACAGACATGCTGTAAGTCCTTGGATGTCCTCTGTTCTGGTCTCTTGCAGGATAGTTTGGCCTTCCTGAGTGGAAGGGTCTTGAACTTCTATGTGGGCGGTGGGGTTGGGGATCTGAGTTGTTGCTCTGAAATCCTGTGCTATGGACTGCTGCCCAAATTGATCAGGGACATGAGCTCAAGGGCATACAGGACGGCCATCCATCAAGGGATGATGTTAAGATCCTCCTGCTCTAAAAAGCCATGGTGATGCTGTTGGCATTTGGATTTTGGCCTTTGTGAATGTTTGTGGCACACCTGAACAGTTTTTGAGAGGGTGTACAGTCTGAGGGACACGTATGGACCTCACAGGATTGACAAGTCTCTTCGTTGCTGCTCTTGCCCACTCAGAATTTCAAAGGCGGGTTTCTGACGTGGACATGTGCATGCATTAGCCCCTGCCGTGCTGAAGAGCCGTTTTTTCTCATCCCTCTATTGTACCCCTTGCAGAGGTGCTCCAGATTTCTTCATCTAATTGCTTGTTCCTTGTGTTTTGTGCAGAGGACTCCAAAGGCTCCCCTGAGCCCGTCACTCACCTGCAGTGGGATGATCCCTACTATGATATCGCCAGGCACCACATTGTGGAAGTAGCAGGTAATGGTCTTTCTGTTTTCTCCTTTGATGTCTTCGCAGCTGGAGGAAGGGTCTTTCTGACGGGGTGGGGGGGGGCCCCTGCTGTATGCCAGGCCCAAGTGGCAATGACAGCTGGCATTGTGAAGAGGAGCACCAAACTTCTTGAACGTTTGCAATATGCATAATTTTCCATTGGCCTTGGTTAAGCTTGCATTCCTTCTTGGCTCTTACCATCTTGACTGTATTATTAGCAGGACTCGGTTGCTTTTGCTGAATTGTTTTAGATGTGGCCCTTGACTATATCCTGCAAACAAGATGCTGTTTTTGCATGGTAATGACACCGAAATAACCTAGTTTGTGCAAGGTCCTCAACTGAGTAATCCACAGTAGGTTTGGCAGCTCTCATACCTGAATGGCCAGAGTTTGCCATCTGGTCCAGAAACAACATTTACAGAAATCTGAAATACGGGAAATAGGCCCATGTCCCGCTGCAAGGAAAGACGTGATCATTCAGAGTCACATACATTTGGATTTTCTCTGTGTGGTTATCTTATCCATGTTCTTTTAATTACTCTAACCCATGGCATTTTACTGATGGAACCTCCGTAAGAAAGAGTTTTGGGGGTAGTTTTTAGGTTCCTGTGATAAGTCTGAGGGAAGGGTAATCCCAGTTTGTCTTGCGTTCCTTGTTTGAAGAAAAAAACCCTAAAAGACACCTCTTCGACCTGTTGTGATTTGATTCACACTTTCCTCTTGGGTATCTGTAGCCGCCTCCTACTGCCATTTCTGTGTGCCTTGGTCCCTGCCCCACATGTGAATTTGCAGCAAAGCAGAGGCACAAGCTGGAGTCGTCCTGATGCAGGGTTGTTCTGCAGCAGGATTTGCCCACAGAGGGGAGATTCTCAGGCACTTAACCTTGGTAAGAGTTGTCCTGACATTGTCATTTCTGGGCTGTCTTATAGAATGAGCTTTCTTTCTCCTAACCTCTCATCTTACATCTTTTGGGGGATGAAATGATAATGGCAAAGTCAAAACTTTGTTGTTCTTTGTTTTCTGTGTGTCTCTGGCTACTCAGGTTGACAGGCCAGGTGTTTAGCATTTGGGCCATTACCTCTTGTAGATTTGCCACAGATGCTTTCACTTGCAAATGTATTACTAACCTTCTTTACCACGGGGCTGGACTTTGAGGATTGGGGTTTATAGAGGTCTGCATCCTGGTGTCCCTACTGCTGAAACAGGGGAAGGGGCAGATGTGTGGACTCCGCCATTTCGGTGGTAACAGCTGGAATATTTGGAAGGCAAATGGCAGAAGTAACTGGTATTTCTGGAGTCTGGGAGCTGGAGAGTTAAATGATACTGTTGTTCACTTCAGACAGAGCCTCAGACAAAGTGCTTAGCAGGGAATTTAGATCAGAGACATCGATAAGACTGGAATGTCAGCGCAAACCGAGGGTATATTTTGTGTGCTGCCTCCTGACGTAAGCACTAGTCTTGCTGTGGGATTTCTGTTCTGAGGTAACATGATATTTTTTTTCCCAAGCTCTCTGAATGTCACTCCAGTAAAGGTGTGTCTCCAGTGGCTGTTGGAATGCAGCTGTTTGACACCTTGTCTAGGATAGCAAATGAAGAATTGCCTAATTCGGGGTGGTATGATGGCTGACTGGGAGGTGTCCCTGCCTTCTGAAAGGGATCTCTTCCCCGTCGTCGTGGATTAAACCTGTGTTTCTAGTGAGCCCTCTGTCCCTGCCTGTGTCTGTAGAGTGCAGAAGCAGCTCAGAGAAGCTTCTGTTGTTGGCTGCTCCTGGGCAGTTTTCACCAGAAGCTGGTTTGTCTGAAAGCCTGTGATCGTCCCCCACACAGAACGTGGTGCAATGCCTTTCTTGGTATTGGAAGAGCTAGTAGCAGAGCTCCAGATAGTGGTTTCGCTGCCCCACAGTTTTGAGACATGCTGGTGTCTCATCTCATCTCTTGGAAGGAGGATTTGTGAATTTGGTTGAAGGGGCCTGAGTTGTAATCTGGGCTCTGGGGTGAAGCTGTTTGTCTGGTTTTCTTGGTCAATAATTAATAACGTTAACTGTTCAGAGAATCAGACAGGGTAATGTTCTCTGGGCTGTTGTTAGAGGCAAACAATCTGGGAACAATCCTATTAGAAGTAGCCTGGAGAATCAAAATTCCCTCGAGCATTAATACGAAACTGTTAGGGTCTGGCTCTGCTGACAAGCTGTGCTTGTCAGCACCTTCAGGTGCAATGAATGCTCACCATGCTAAGCCTGAAACAAAATAGCTTGGTTCTCCTGTAAATATTAGCAAATGGCAGCAGATGAAGGGTGGTTTTATCCATTCTGCTGATTATGAGCTTTCTCTTACATGTCCTTTCCTCTTCAGCACTTCAGAGCAGAAAGCATATGGCTAACTGTTTCTGCCTTCCCTGAAATAGATTCTGGGATGATGGTGCTATTTTGAGACAAAAGCAGAAAGCTGGTTCCCATCCTCAGGCTGAACTCCATGATCCCAGGGTTATCCCGTGTGGTCAGAAAAGTAATCGCTTCTTGTGGGGTGGGTGCATGGTGTTAATAACTTATTAAAAGCTCGGTTTTGGGGACGAAAAGTTAGTGCATTCATTTTCTAGCTGACCTTAATTTCTGATTCAGTTCAAGGCAGGCCAGATTTGAATATTCTGGCTATCTGGCCTAAAGAGGGAAAATAATATTGAAAAACATTTTGCAGAATTTGCTAGAAAATTAAGGTTTGGTTTTCACTTCAGAATAGTACAGCAGTTTCATGGAGACTCACCTTTGTGCCCTGTGCTCCCGTCTCTTCTGAGGACTGGGATCTTCCTGGAAGAGGCTGTCTGTGGAGAAGGAGCAGATATGTCACTGCTGTCCCGGGTGTGTCACGGGAAGATGGCAGCGAAAGGCATCCAGGCCACAGTTCTGAGGGAGTACCGTGACACTGCTCTGAATCAGAGTACTTTAGTTTTGGGAAACCTTTTGGTTCTGGGGTTCACTGCTTTTGTAAAGGAAAGAGATGATGCTCTACCTATCCTTTCAGACCTGCCTTAAGGTGTGTGTTTTGGGAGTGGTTTATGCAGGCTCTGGAGAGGTCTCTGCATGGTTGGGTTCTTCTCGACTCCGAGTTCTTCTTTTTGTGAGCATTATAACAGAAATTTGCCTTTACATGTGGCTAGGAGTTGGAGCAGAAGTGGCTCGATTTCACTGCACAAACCACTTCTGCAAAGTGTGGGGTTTTTTTCTTGCTCACATCACAGAGCATTCGGAGGAAACGCAGACTTCTGGTTGAAGGCTGTTGAGGAGCTATCCCAAATTTCTGTTGCATTTTTTTCCGGCTAATTCTTCCATGACAAAGGTGCTTCCATCTCCTTTGGGGTTGAGGCAGGCTTTTGGGTGACGTAATCTTGGCCTTGAATTTCAGCAGAGGCTGAACTGCAAGAATATGGCAGATAGTTAATAACAGTCTGAAGGAGATCTCTGGAGGTGGCAGCGCCTGTGGGAAACCTGGGCCGTGTGGGAAGAGCAGAGCTCTTGGCAGCTCTCTGGCAACGTGTTCCTTCCTCGTTCTTCTGCCCAGTCCAAAATACTGGTCTCACCATTGTGGTCAACATACAAGACAATAGCTGTATGAGGTGCACCAGCATTCACATTTTACATGATAACTGGCATTCTTCCTTTTGGGATAAGAAAACTGGGGTTTAATATGTGATTAGCATCTGAATTTTCTGCTGCTGTGGAGGTTAGAAGTTGGTGTAGCAGTTGTCAGGAGAGCAGCCATCACTGTTTACTTCAGCTGTGTAGTCCTTGCTCAGTGACTTCAAAGCTTTGCTGAAGCTGGGAGCATGTTTCTGCTAGTTTTTTTGTGGGAAATCTGCTGCCTCACACCATGAATTGGCAGTCTGCAGGGCTGCGCTCGCAGAAGGCGCGATGCTAGTGTGTGTGAGACCCGCGACTGAAGTGGGAAGGCAAGGTGGAGAGCTGGGGGTGTACCTTCTTGCGTGTTACTAGGTTGAAACTGCAGTTTCAACAGTGAATCTTTTCTTCAGTGGTATCTGTCAATCTGGTACCAAACCTGCCTGAGAAGCATTGTGGCTGGCTTGTTGGCGGCAGGGGCCCGAGCTGTAACTAGTGCTGATGATTTGCTGTTGCTGTCGGTGATTGACGTGGGGAGGTGGAATCACACTTGGAGCAGCAGTGGCTGTTGTTTCACTAAGCAGGCAGAGGTAGAAGTTGCAGACAAAACTTGTGTTGGAGGTGTGCTGCAGTGTGTCTTTGACTAATGGGCTCAGTAAAGGCCTCTAACAAGGGTCCTTTTCATACAAGGTGCCTGCATTTCTGTTGCTTTTGGATGTAGTTTCTAGCTTTGACCTTTTTTTTTTTTTTTTTTTTTAAGCGTATTTGTATGATATGGAATGAGATGTTGCTTCTGTAGAATTGGGCCCTTGCAAAGCAAGCCCAGCTTGTGCACCATGTTTTAACATGTGAGATCGAGGGAATGGAAAGTTTGTTCCTAGAGCCCTGCTCTGCTCAGGCTCCTGTCTTGATAGACCCATGTGGGTCTGTTGAGTATATAGCTGTGGGAGTGAGGGAAAGGGGCTGCGCATGGCAAGATATGCCTTCATTAGACCTCTCCCAGCCCAGAGAAACCTTTTTTCTTTTTACGAATTGGCAGTTTATTTTTTTACTCAGAATCTACTATTTTTTTTATTTTTTTATTCTTTTTTTTCCAAAAAGCTATAGGTGTGTTGAAGATCGAAATTGTCCCCATGTTCAGCTTATTAGTGAAAATCAGCTTCTTGCAAAACAGGCTGTTGGATGTATTATTTGTACGGTATGATGCCATTCTCTGTACGCTTCTGAAGTTGTTCAGATGACGCTGACATTCAGAATTAGTTGAGTTTAATCCTTTTAAAAGTGGCAGTGTGGCAATTGCCATTTTGGTGGTTGGGGAAGTGTAACAGGTAAGGGCCAGAAATTTGACTGTGGTTATACAGAATTGGTTGTGAATTC